AACACACCCATATCTATGGAGAAAAAGACAACATGTGTAGTTTAAGGCTGTATGTGTTATAACAGACATCTTAAACACACATCACTACTGTTAAAAGAACTCCCCAAACTTTAAGTCAGTTTCACTTCTCTTGTGTCTAATTGAATCTGACTTTGAAGTTATGAAACCTCCAGATTTGACTAGCAGCTTCAAAAGTCCTGGTAAACTAGCTCCACAGTTCTCCCAGAACATTGACGAGCAGGAGACATTCCAATAAAGGAAGTGAAGAGAAAATAGCCCGACACGAACTCACAATTCCCACGTTAGCTACTTCCTTTCCCTCTGTAAAGACACCACCTTTTAAAAGGAGGCAGACCACACCGTAAACTTTATATAGCACACAGGCTGGTCAGTACAGCTAGTGCTCGACTTACGACCACGGTCGGGACCGCAGACCGGTTGTAACACGATTTGGTCGTAAGTTGAGTAGGCTATATGTACAGTTGAAATGGTGCACGCAGAGATGGTAGTGCTGCCGGAAGCTGGTCCGCACAGTCGTACGCCCAGCTGGGCAACGTTTGCGCTGCCAGACACGGAGCAGTCGTGGCTAGCGATTGTGGTCGTAAAGTCGAATGGTCGTAAGTTGCATAGGTGGTAAGTCAATCAATACCTGTAAATATCGTGTACCCAGAGACACAAAATAGGAGTGCTGGCCGGGCGTGGTGGCTCATGCCTGGAATCCCAGCACTTTGGGAGGCCGAGGCAGGCAGATCACAAGGTGAGGAGTTCAAGAGTAGCCTGGCCAATATGGTGAAACCCCGTCTCTACTAAAAATACAAAAATCAGCTGGGCATGGTGGCGGGTGCCTGTAGTTCCAGCTACTCGGGAGGCTGAGGCAGGAGAATCGCTTTAACCCGGGAGTTGGAGATTACAGTGAGAGGAGATCACACCACTGCACCCTAGCCTGGGTAACAGAGGAGGACCCCATCTCAAAAAAATAAAATAGGGGTGCCATGGAAAGGTCTCTAAATGCCATGCTCCTTGATCAGTATAAGCATGGTTTCCTCATTTCTTCTACCAGGGTTAGGCATACACCAAAACTCAAACATTAAAGTCCTACATTGCTTGTCTCTGAAGGCATTGGACTACACTGAAGCCAAAGGTGAAAGAATTTTTTTTATATTGGAAGCAGATAAAAGAACATTATATCACTTACTTAAAAATATACCCAAATTCCCTTGGATAACAACTCTAAGCATAAGACCACCATGTCTTCAGGAAATACCTTCTCTCTCCACTCCTGCATTGGCTCAGCAGAGGACAGAAGGGAAAGGAAAGCAAACCCATGATGAATGGAAAATCATTACCACCTTCTTTTCAGTAGGAAACACCTCTGGTAAACTTAAAACGGATTCTCTTTACTCCCCGCACACGAATTTGCATATGTCTTAACCAGGAGCTCTTCTCCCTTAGATTGGGTTCTTCCAAATTCAGACTCTCAGACAGGACGTAGGATCCCAGGAAGCAAGGGAGGGAGGAGAGGAGTGAGCAGGGAAGGGAAAGGCAGCCAGTGGCATAAAAAGAAGAGGGTGACCCCTCCCGGGGCCCCTCTGAGTTGACGATGGAGGAAAGGCCCAGATACTTGGGATGGTATCTAACAATTCCCACCCTCTCGGGTTGAGCACTGCTCCTGAGCCCTCACTCCTTGGCATCTCCAACCTCTCCGCACTGAGCCAGACAACTCCCTAGTGGAGAGCTCCCGTGCAGTGCATGGGTTCTGGCTGTGGGCACCCCAGGGGTGGGCCTGGTGGTGGGGAGCAGGCACATAGTGTCTGCAGTGCCCACTTCCCCACAAGTGGACTCCCCGTCCCTGCTCAGTTGTCCAGGGAATCACCCTTCCTACTCCTCCCTCAGCGAGTCCTACACCCAGCCTGTCACCAGCTTCTGTCTTCTGGCTGCTTCTCCTTTTCCAGCACTACTCCCAGCCCAAAGCGTCTCCTCGTCTATATCACGATAATTTCCTCCTGGCTGTCTTCCAAACCTCATACGATCCCTTTCCCCATCACGTTGATACCATCGGTGTGTCTTTCTTAAACAGGTTTCACGTCTGTCTTCTCAGAAGTACACATCCAACCCCCACCCCACCTGCCTTTCACACCCTCCGGGAGTAGGTTCCACACCAGCAGCCAGCTTCCCCCCCATCTCCTCTCCGCTCAGCTTCCACATCCAGCAGGCCAGGTGCCTCCTCCTGCAAAGCTCAGACACACGTAGATGTCTTGGCTCATTCTTGACCCCACTGTGGAAACCGGGACTCTGCTCTTTCTTCTTCTGTATGGCTTTGTGTAAATTAATTGGTGAAACAGAGACACAGAGAATTGTATCTGGAAAACGGGCAAGGCCTGCAGTGTGGCGGAAGCCCTGAAACAAGGTTCTATGCAAACATTGCAGGGCTGCCCCAGCGGCGAGCAGGGCTCTGGAAGCCCTGGCCACCCCCCAGCCACAGAAATTGCCTTCTCCTCTCAACCTGGAAAAATCCCACCAATCCACTTCCTCCGAGAAGCCTTTCCCTACCATTCAGTCAAGCTCACACTGACCTCGGACTTTCTACGTTCTTGCTTTTCTCGTGGCCAGTGAGGTATTTAACTTTTCTTTTGCAGTGTCATGGGTGTTGGCTTGTTCTTCGTTCATAAACTCTCTCCCCATAGAGCCTGTGTGTGGTACCTGGTCACCTCCCCCCAGACCCCAGTGAGCACCCGGTGGCGGGGCCTCAGGCGAGCTGGGCTGAGGGGCTGACTGCAGTGGGCCTGCTCTCGTATCGCCGTTTGGCTTTGTTTCTTTAAAGAGCCTAAGAAGTGTCTGCTAACCGCCAATACTGAGGCTTCGGAAATCACAGGACTTATTCTAACAGTCCTATGACTGGGGAAATCTAGAATGGTAAGAGCTACTTGTTGGCTCACTGCTCTTTTTCAAATTATAGGAAAATCACTTTCTAAGAAGTTTTTTTGTTTGTTTGTTTTGGTATTACTTTTTTACTCTTTTTTTCCATTTATTTTATTGCATTTTAGGTTTTGGGGTACATGTGAAGAACATGCAAGATTGTTGCATAGGTACACAAGTGGCAGTTTGTGTCCTTTGTAGGGACATGGATGAACCTAGAAGTTTTTTTTTGAGACACAGTCTCACTTTTTTGCCCAAGCTGGAGTGCAGTGGCGTGATCTCTGCTCACTGCAACCTCTGCCTCCCAGGTTCAAGCAATTCTCTGCCTCAGCCTCTGAGTAGATGGGATTAAGGCACCCACCACCATGCCCAGCTAATTTTTGTATTTTTAGTAGAGACTGGGTTTCACCATCTTGGCCAGGCTGGTCTTGAACTCCTGACCTTGTGATCCACCTGCCTCAGCCTCCCAAAGTGCTGGAATTACAGGCCACTAAGAAGCTTTAAAGAGAAGCAAGAAAAGAAAATGTTCAGCTAGGTGGACTGTGCACTTTGACACCACAATTCAGCACCCAAAAGTACACATGTAAGGGATGTTGATGTCTGCAGGTCTTGGTGGAAGATGTCAGAGGATAAATCACTAGCAAACAGGAGTTTCCTTGGAACTCTGTTGGATCAGCAGTTCGCAGACAGGAGGTCACCCAGGGCTCCTACTCACTCTCCATAGACATCACATGAAGACCAGCCTCAGAGAGGGGCTGCCCGGGACGGCGCCCAACAGGAGAAGAGCTAGGAGGTAGAGACAGGCACAGAGCCCGCCTCCGCACCACACATGTGAGGCTGAAGACTGGCAGTTGCATTGATTCTCTTGTGGACTGACCCTAATGGTTTATGACCCAGGTAGCAACGCAGGACCATGGACCGAGTGTGGTCAGCCATGCTTCGTTTCATCTTTTAGTTCAAATCTGTAGACATTGTTCAAATATTGCTAAATTTCTCGTAAATACTCTTATTTGACTTCTCTCAAAAGCTTGGCAAAGGGTAGGGCTGGGAAGCACACTCTGGAGCCAAAGGCCTGCGGTGAAATCCCAGGGAGACAAAACCCTAGATGTGCAATTTCAGTGACTTTCTTAGGTGGTCTATGCTTGCCTTGCAGGCAGCGTGAAGATCGTGAAAGTACTTACCTCACAGCGTTGCTGTGTGCATCAGGTGAATTCACATGCATAAAGGACGTAGCACAGGGCCTAGGACATGAAAAGCCTGACCTACATGTGAGCTACCATTTTTTTTTTCCCTGACAAGGTAGATCAACTTTCCTACTTGGGAAATATGTTTAAAGCCCCAGATCCTGCGTCCTTTAGATGAATCGAACTCTTTCCTCCCCAGCACGGTGTCTACCACTCCTGCCATAGCTAGCCAGGGCCACCCATCAGTGTTCTCTCCCAGCCACTGTAGGCCATGGAATATGCTGACCCAGTCGTTATAGGAGAGGCTGAAGGTGGCACTGTACGATGTGACTGTGGTGGGAATATCACAGCAGGTGTTGTTCAGCAACCCAGTGAGCTAAAGAACAAGAAAGGCACTGTGGAAAAGGAGGTGGCAAGGATGGTGACATGAGCAAGTGCAGACACAGGCAGGGAGGGGGCAGAGCCTGGCGGAGAGGCAGGCGGTAGCAGAGGCCAGGGAGAAAGGCAATCTTCTTCTTCCCAAGCTGGGTAGAGAAGGCAGCAGGCAGTGGACACTTAAGTAGCCAAGCCAGTTCAGAGATCTGAGAATCAGGAAGAGGAGACACTCAGAGAGAGAAGGGCCAGTCACGGACAATCCAGGCACCAGGGAATGACGCACAAGGCCCACAACTCAGCCCCGAAGACACACAGGAGTAAATCAGCAGAAGGTCAGGCCTCAGTGTTTTGACCACTGATCACAGAGCAGGGACAGCCTGCCATCCCCTGGTTTTATGGTCACTCCTCCCAGGATAAGCTGGCCGAGAGCGAAGGCCAGAGGAGGCCACCACCCCGATCCAGGCTGTGAGCTGGGGCTGCAGACTCAGGACTAAGGTTTATAGTGATTTATAAAAGCATGCCTACCTAGCCGACACCACACAGATTAATTCAGGCATCTAAGCGATTTCTTCATCAGCCACAAACAATTCCCAGGTCTGGAGCATTCATTTCTTCTGAAACACAGAAACAATTCCAGCCAATGCATTGTTTTTTGTTTTTTGTTTGTTTGTTTTTTTCTAAATGGAACAATGAACAAATACAATTGCTATTCAAGTCCTGGGGATACATAGTGGTTACCAAAATAATCGACCCTACTTAGAGCACGTAACAAAGTCATAGCACTGGTAGGCCATTCTGTGTTCGGTGGAAAAGCAGGATTCCTATTTCCCTTGACTTTTGGTTTCACCCACACTCCATGAAGTTTCTAACTAGGTGAAGGAGGATGAAGTCTATCCAATAAAACTTTTCTAATTGAAAATCATTACCAAACTGCTTTCTTCTAAGACACACAGGCTCCTGTGCTGGGATCTCCTGCCCCTTCTTCAATCACGTCTTTCTGCAGCATCGCCGGCAGGCCCAGGTCAAAGGAGAACAACAATGGCGAATTCGACTTCAAGGACCCACTTACAATTCCCTCTCTGACAAAAATAACTCCTTTCATGGGGAATTTGAGAATCTGAAAATTGGTGAGCCTTCTCTGTGGGAGACCAGCACAAAGCGAGGGCATCTCGTGTAGGCAGTTTCTTCTAAGGGCCATAAAACCCAAGAAACACCTTTGGATGTTTCTGTCCCCATCTTAGCGCTGTTCTTTAGACAATCACAAGAAAAGGGCTTTGTCCCTGAGAACAAGGCCTCTCTCCTTCTGTATCTATTGTGTTTGGCCCCTGCACGCACCTGTCAGGATGTTGACAATATTTCCAGTGAGGCATTTTCCTAAAGCATTCCCTCCCTTGGAGGGAACCCTGTCCTTGACATCTGTGACAGCCCGTGGGTGAATCATTTTGTGAAACAGGGCCTTCAATGGGAAGCTTTCGCTCTGATCGTGACCTCACTTAATTGTCTATGCCTTCAAAAGTCCAGGTTGCATTGGGGCCACAGTGGCACGTGAAGGCCCCCCGTGGGCGGCTGGGCCGGCAGGTTATTCTACAAGCTGTGTGCTTTCCACAAGTTCCTTTGCCTCCTGGGAACTAAATTCAAGATGGTAGTGAGCAATGCAAACCCCCAGACAATTTGGATCTTAGCATCCTCTGCAGTGACTTCTTCGCCTGGTTAATTTAATGGCGATTTTCTATCCTCTAGAGCAGCCTGGCTGTGGATGGAGCCACAGGTCTGTTCCCAGCCCACAGCCTACCTGACATGAGAGCAAATGAGCACTTCTGGTCACCCTCTGTCGTCAGCTTCCAGTCCACTGACCGTCTCCACTTCCCACTGGCCCCTGGAATTCCTAATGCTGAAATTCACCAGAGCCCTGTCCTTAGTGAGCTGGTGTCTACTATACCCTCTTGGCCTTCCAATCCCATCTCAATGGGTTTAAATGCCATCTAAAGACCAGTGACTTCCAAATCTCTCTCTCGCCTTGGCATTTCCCCTGAATTCTAGGTGAATTTAGCCATTGCCTACCCTCCACGGCCATCAAAATATCTAATTGATTTGCAAACTGAACGTGTCCAGCCTGAACCTGCTCTTCACACAGACTTTCCTAAGTTGAAAGAAATTCAACTATTTAAGTTGCTCCGGGAAGAAAATAATCGCCTGTGCATAATCTCTGTTGCCTCTCTTTCTCTTGCCCTTCCTTAAATCGACCAGCAAATCAGGTTGACTCTGCTTCACCGTGTGTCCAAGAATCCAGTCGCATCTCACCGTCTCCCCTTCCAATGCCCCGCGAGCTTCTCCAGGCCTCTCTCCGGGGTTGCTGCTGTTACCTTCTCACTGCCTTCCCTGCCTGCATCTCTGTCCCCATCCCCAGTCTAGACTCAGCACAATAGGTGGTTAAAGGGACCCTTTTAATGCCAATTTCATTCCACAGCTCTACTTTGCTCTTAACCTTCCATTGACTTCCCATTTCATTCAGAAGAAAAAAAAAAATCCAAATTCTTCACAATAACCAAAAAAAAGCCCCTCTTGCTATGAACTCCCATCACTTTCTAGACAGTATTCCATTCCTCTGCCCTCTCCCCCGAGCTCCCTCCGCACAGGGATCCTTGGGTCCTGGGACACATCAGGGACACTCTGTGGGGGCGTCTGGACTGGCTCTTCCTGCTGACTGTAAGCCCCCTCCTTTCTCTGTCCCCAGCTGGATACTCATGTGCTCACCTCTCTTGCTTCCTTCAAGTTTCTCTGCATTAGTTACCCCGTCCCAGAGACTCCGTGACCACCCTACTGTGAACGGTGCTGCCACACTCCTCAGCCCTTTCCTGGCTCAATTTCCTGACTGCATTGACTCAACATCTTCTGACACTCTATGGCATACGTATTTATGGCCTTTATTATTCACCAACTGTCTCCCTCAGAGAGAATCCAAGCGGCCCCATGTCCTTCCCATGCAGAGATACGTCTCAAGCACCCAGAAGATATGATACCCAGTGGGTGGTTATCAGAGGTTTGTTAAATGAGTTAACAGCTTTCATTCTTTTTTAACTTTTATTTTAGGTTCAGGAGTACACGTGCAGGTTTGTTGCATAGGTAAACCTGTGTTATAGGGGTTTGGTGCACAGATTATTCCGTCACCCAGGTGTTAGGCGCCCAGAACCCATTCGTTATTTTTCTAATTTTTTAATTTCTTAAAATGAACAGTACTAAAAATGAACTCGACGGTTTGTGCCCAAAGCCTCAGTTCAGTATTTTTAAAAGTACGACTTCTGTTGTTTATCTTGTAACAAGAGGATGGGAGACAGTTTATTTGCGTAAGAGAGGATAGCCCCAGGGTGTGTTGTTTTCCTTTGTGTCCATGTGTTTTCATCGTTGAGCTCCCACTTACAAGTAAGAACATGCAGTATTTGGTTTCCTGTTCCTGCATTAGTTTGCTAAGGATAATGGCCTGCACTCCATTCATGTCCCTACAAAGGACACAATCTTGTTCTTTTATATGGCTGCATAGTATTCCATGCTGTAGATGTACCACATTTTCTTTACCATTCTTTACATGTTCACCTTGGTATGTGAGCCCTGTGAGGAAAGAAAGCGGGTCTTAAATTGTGTCTGCCTTTAGTACGGGGCATAGTTCAGAGCAGACAGCTGCAATTCAGTCAGTGGATGAATAAACAAAGAAACCGACATGCACATGCTGCTCCAGCACGGACATCATCCTCTTCTTCTCTTACCTACAGAAACTACCCTGCCGCACATCCTCTCGTTTCAAATGAACAACAGAAGTCGTACAATTTTTAAATATTGAACTGAGGTTTTGAACACAAACATTGAATCTGTTTTTAGTACTGTGATAGGTACAAGCAGGAAATGAAAAATAGGCCGTTATACTGAACTTCTACCATAGGGTCTCACTTTCTGGTGGTTTGCTATTTTGCAATGTGTTATGCGTTTTGGGCTGAACTGTGTCTGCCCCAAAATTCATATGTTAAAGTCCTAATGCCCTCTACCTCGGAACCCAATTGTATCTGGAGATAGGCTCCTCAAAGAGATAAGTTAAAATGGGCCCACTTCAGAAGAAATCAACACTATTGATGCCTTGACCTCAGACTTCCAGCCTCTTGAGCTGAGAGAGAGTAAATTTCCGTTGTATGGGTTACCCAGTCTATAGTATTTGGTTATGGCAGCCCTGGCAAATGATACACAGTGGTGATTACATTATCCACCAGAGCATGAGATTTCAAAATCACACCTTCAATTATTGATCGTTCCGAAATCAGAAGGGTTCCTTTTTGCCATTCTGGTGATACTGTCTCGAGGAAGACAGATTCACCCCAATAAAGGACACCTGACCATGCCACGCCCTGGTCAAAATACCAAACACAGACGCTACTTCCATTCTATGCAGATCATTTGTTTCAGTCATCATATCTACCATAAAAATGATTGTATTATAAATGGCCATTCTCATTATAATCAGTCATTAGGTAATATTTTGTACTGTGCTGACTTCTAAATTTTATGTGTGTATTTATTCTTTCATTCATTACTTGCTCACTTTCATAGAGAAGGCTGGCACACTTTTCGAGTTAAATTCCTGACCTTTAGATGACCCTTGCCAACTATTCAAACACAAAAGGCCATTTTAAAAAATTATTATGAGTCAATTTAACAGAAATCTGAAAATTCCCTTCTTTTTTGGGCCTAGCCACTGAAGAAATACCAGAATGACATGTATAAATTAAAAATCATTCCCCACTTGCAAGCTTATCTTAAATTGATAGGGCCAAGAATATTCCTTGTAATTGTTAAATTAATTTAGCTATTCTTGATGTATTGTTCTTTGCATGAAAATCACTCATCATTCTTCCTTGGCTATTTGCCTTTTTTGCAGGAAGAGAGAAAGTCCCACAGGACGCTCCAAAGAACCCCTTCGGCCCGTGGGATCTAAAGCACCTCACCCTTCCTGGCTGGTGTCTCAATTCAGCTTTCCTCTTACTGCAGCAAATGCTTCACACCCAAAATGCAACACTACTGGAGTCTTAAAGCACAGGAGAGAGAATGAATTTCCCTTAAAGGGAAATCAAGATAAATAATTATGCTCTTTGTGGGTAGGCCTCCTGCAAAATCTCCTCAAAGGCCCAATATCTGCAACTCCCCCCACTAGCAGGCATGTAGGTATACGAAGCAGCATTAGCTAAATATCAAAGCAACCTGCAAACATTGTAAAAACCTAATAAATCATCTCCTGATTAATTTTAGCTGAGAGCGCAGAATCATATTAGGCTCGGCTTAAATGTTAGAAGGAAACTAGAATGATTCGAAAAAAACCCAGCTCTTCAGACTGTTTCCCATTTAAAAACTATGTTACCAAATACTGTATTCTAAATGATACCTTTTCTCATTGCTGCATTAGTTCAATAAATGCTAACTGATTTCAAGTGATCTGCTGACCTACTCCATGTCATAAGGTTTAAAACGGGAAAGTCACATTTTTAAAATTATCTATTTGTTACAGTTGTCTAAAAAGTATGTATTATTTTTTGAAATAAGGCTTGGGTTTATATTTTTAAGCAATTTGATT